TGCTGGGAGGTGCCGGAGGCCGGGTCCGGGTGCCCTGTGCTTCTCGCCGAGCTGCTGCGGGGACGGAAGAGGTTTCGTTCGGTGTTTTTTATTTCTGTGCGTGAAGGCTGCTAACAGCACCGCGGATTTCTGCTGCTAGGCCACTGGAAAAGGCCGCTTTGTTCTTTGAACTTGCCTAAATTTACATAAAAATTGAACGTGACCTGAGTTTTCAGCGGAGGGACCTTTAAAGTCAATTGGGCGTTTAAAGTAATTTCGTATATTTTTTTGGTATTGTTTTTTGCAGCTCTGATTCTGTACTTTCTGAAGCGGTAGATTTAAGGTGGTAGAATTGGAGCAGTTTCCTGGTGTCAGGGAAATCTTGGAGCTCTAAGAGAGAGCTGATAAACAAGACCTTTTGTTTGAACGCTATGACGTGTTTAAAATAAATGTGTCTTAAGGCAAGGCACTGTGGTACAGTGGTCTTTGCTTTAATTTGCAGAAGGTAATAAAAGTTTACCTCAGCGTGTTTAATTTAAACATATATGTAAATGTCAGCCAAGTACAAAACAGTTTTGTTTTACAGGCCTGAGCTGTGTATGTTGTGACTTGAGAACTAAAGCAAATTTGATTCAGCATCTAATGAATTAGAATTAATAATTACAAAAGGTTTCACTATTAGCAGACAAAATAATGGAAATGGACTCTCTCCCTATGCTGTGAAGTTTCTTTTAGAGAGCCTTAATGAGTTTGGAGTGTACTGAAGAGGCACAGGCTGACTGGAAGGAACAAGCCCCCCATCATGGGCATTATTCCTAGCAATGCAGAATTCTCACTTGCTTTGTCCTTTGCTTGCTCTGGAGAGGGAATCAATGCTTCTGCCAGCAATTCCCAGTGGCTTACACTAAGCCCCAAGTGTGTTAAGGGGAGACTTAGGGTCCTCTTCGTTCCTTCTTCTTGATGTCAGCATTTTCCCTTGTTTATTTCTTTTCTTTTCTCCCTCCGGTTCACCAGAAGTTGTCAGCTGTCTCTCAGCAAGCTTCGTCTTTTGCAGCACTGGCACCAGAATGCAGCTGAAAGCAGGACTCTGAGCAGCCCAGGCTGGGCGCGTTGCATGGTAGCAGGTGGGAGAATATTCTGTGTATGTTCTTCAGCATCAGTGAAGCCTCAGTAAAAGGGAGGCTTTGTTTTCTTTATCTGGTGATCTTTCCAATTCTATGTGTGTCGCTCTCTTCTTTCCGTCCTTCCCCCCTATGGAACACAAAATTTGACTTCTGCAACTGCTTAACCAAGTATTTTTCTTCTCTACCTTCATTCCAGCCAAGATACCATGAATGAATGAATTTTTTATTTTATTTTAAGTGTTTTTTCTTTTTTTCCAGTTTTTGAAACTTAACATAGTAATTAAAGAATAAATGTTTAACTTTAGTGAAGCACAGTCGTTTTCATTTATAAACATTAATACAATGCATTAAGTGCATACGTAGTTTTGAGAAAGGCTTAAACTTACTCAAAGCAGTGGCAATCACCAAGCCAAGAAGCTGAGGGAATTTTTGGGAACCATTTAATTGAGTGAAATTGGAGTAACAGCATAGTCTATATAATTTTTTTTGTAACCCGTAAGATACTCATTTCACAACAGTATACTTGCCTGACTTAAAAAGCTTTGAAGTATCTGTTGAGCTCCATCCTTTACTAAACTGGGGTCTCAGTTGTGAGTGTAAATGGCTACTGTCTCATTTAAAATTTGCATCATTTCTTGTACCAGGTAACTTGCAATGAGGTGTTAGTAAAGTCATTCTGCCTGAAGTTTAGAATCATGTTAGAGAAAGGACTCCTTGTTTGGGACTTCAAATGGCAATCACAGTTGTTAAAATGAATGGTTTCTTTGGTGTGGTGTTCTTTTGTGTATCTGAAGGCTTTATAGCAAAGTCTCTGGTGAGTACAGGTGCTTGTATCCTTGGCTAGTCGTCATATCAGTCTGTCAGTCGTGTGTTGAAATTAACATTGCCTTAAGTCAGAGATCATGGTCCACTTTGGCCTCTGGATTAAAGACAGTGGAGTGCTTTCATGGATTAGGGACTTAAAGGAATCAAAGGGGCACAAATGACCAGTACTAGATGTCCAAGGAGCGCAAAGCTCTTAGTGAGTCAGTGGACTTTGCTCACTGTTTCTGTTAAGGGAAATTGCAGAAGCTCTAATTCCTGCAAATGCATTAGGGACTTCCTACAAAAATTGCATGACACTGGACTTTTATTTTCCTCATTAAGGTGAGCCATGTCTTTCCATTCTGGGCGAGGATGTCCCCGTGGTCAGGGGGGACCAGGAGCAAGGACTTCAACACAGACTTACCGCCCTCAGAACCTACGGCAGCTTCACCCACAACAGCCCTCTGTGCAATACCAGTATGACCAGCAAACTGCCCCTCCAACAACCTACTCAAACCCACCAGCCACCAGTTACATGCCTCCCAGACCAGACTTTGTCCCCTATCCTCCTCCAGTGCCCCCTTCCTCACAAAATCCCATCAGCCAGTGTCCCATGAGGCCACCGTTTCCAAACCACCAGATGAGGCAGAGCTTCCCAGTGCCTCCATGCTTCCCTCCTGCTCCTCCGCCAGTGCCAAATCCTAGCAACGCTCCTGTGCCAGGAACTCCTGCTGGGCAAAGCACCTTTCCTTACATGATGCCTCCTCCCACAGTACCCCATCCTCCCCCACCGCCAGTCATACCGCAGCAAGTCAACTACCAGCCTGTGTATTCCACAGGATATTCACAGCAGTCATTCCCACCACCGAACTTCAACAGCTACCAGCACAACTCTGGCTCCTTTCAGAGCAGCACTGCCAACAGCAGTGGGGGCAGCAGCCATTTCCGGCACACGGGTCAGTATCAGGGAGAGAAGTCGCAAAGTGATCGACGGTCTCCAGAGAGGAGCAAGCACTATGACGAGCACCGACATCGCGAGCATGGCCACATCCATGGTGACAGGCATCGGTCCACTAACCATGGGGATCGTCGGGATCGAGGCCGGAGTCCAGACAGGAGGAGGCAGGAAAGCAGTCGGCACCGGGCAGATTATGACAGAGGAAGGATATCGCCTCATCACAGAAGTTACGAGCGTAACAGGTAACTTGAGGTATCTTCTGTCTGCAGAAGGAAAGTTGTCATCATGGTCCCATAGTATTTGTTTGCATCAATGTGCTTCCCTTACTCTGGTTTTTCCCTCTAGCTCTGGATGTAGCCAGTACTCAAGTCTGATGGAAAGAGCTGTTGTTTTGACACTTTTCAGATACACTGCTTCTGCCTCACTTCTATAAACTGCCAGACTTGTTGCCCTTGGCCATGAAGATAGATGGCAGCAAAGCAGCTCTCGTTTGAAAACTGAGTGGATTGCTGAGTACTGCTCTACTCGAGTACCATAGAAACTTATGCACGTGTGGCATGAAAGCACAGTTGTTTTGTGCAAAAGACTGTGCTCACAGTTTAGCCTTACACAGGTTTAAGTCCCAGCATTTCAAGTTTCAACATTTAGGTACCAGAGTTAGTGTTCCAGGTGTTACTTGAATTTGATCTTTCTTAGAGTAAGCTGTCTACTTGTAGAGCAGCAGCACTTGGGAGGGTTTATAGTCTGATAGGTGCACATTTTTAATCCCTGCAGTGAGGTTTTTGGTGAAAAGCATGCTGTACAGTGTTCTTCAACTTGCTATGTCCTGATCCTTGTGGGTGACCAGCAGAGGCGTCTGCAGGCTTCACAGCCCTCGGTGGATGCTTAGACCTGCCTGTGTGTTTCTGTTCAGGATGAAGACCTCAGCAAGCCAGCCTTCGATCTCAAGAGATAACTGAGATGAAAATTGACATAACACCAGTTAAAAGAAATAGGCAAGTTGTAGGCCATGTTGACATCTTATGATTCAGATGGATGAGAGTGGACTGCTTAATTTGTGACATGTCATGAAGTTTCTGTCCCTCTGCTTCATAGACACAAACAGCATGCAAATCACAAGCAGACTTGATTCACTTTGCCATGTAGTGTTTCAGAGCAAACCATAATCAATTAAATCTTTCAGATGTCTTCATTTTGCTCTCATGGGGGCCCTTTCTGTGTCTAATGATCTAGGTCAGAATATTCAAAGAAAGATTCTGGAAAGTTATGTATCTAAATGTTTAACCATGGCACCTGGATCACATGCTGAAATTTGAGAAGCTCTGAGCTTTCTCATGTCACATATGAAACATGAATCTACACATAGTGCTTGTGGAAATAAAGCCACTTTGATTTAGAGATGCGGAGATGTGCAGAGATTTAATTGCAGAATCTTAAGGAAACTGTATTCCAAAAATACCCAAACCAAACCTCACATTCAGTAAGTGTACTTTGATTTCTAGAAGAGGGTTCTCCTAAAATTCAACCACTTCCCTTGGCAGTCTTTTCCAGTACTTGGTAACTGTTTATATGAAGGCTAATCTAAACCTGTCCTGGTGTGACTTGAGGCCGTTTTCTCTTGTTACTTGGGAGAAGAGACTGCCACCCACCTTGCTACAAATTCTTTCCAGGTAGTTGTAAAGAGTGATAAGGTCTTCCCTGAGGCTTCTCTTCTCCAGACCAAACAATCCCAGTTCCCTCAGCTGTTCCTCATAAGACTTTTTCTCTAAATTCTTCACCAACTTTGGACATGGTTGCTCTTCTCTGGACAGACTCGAGCACCTCAGTGTCTTACAGTGACGACCTAAAGTTGAACATAGTGTTTGAAGTGTGGTCTCACCAGTGTTGAGTACAGGGGGACAATCAATTCCTTAGTCCTGCTGGCTACACCATTTCTGATCCAAGTCAGGAAGCTGTTGACCCTGGCCATCTGGGTACACTGCTGGCTCATAATGTAGTCTGCTGTTAGCCAAGACCCCCAAGTCCTTGTCCAGTGGGCATCTTTCCTCTTCCCCAGGCCTTTAGTGAATTTAAATCTCTTTTGCCTCAAAAGTATGTTTGCATGGTCAAGTTCTTTATGTGTTCGTGCAAGTTGAGTCTTGTAGATATTATTCATAGTTTCAGCATGATGCACTTACTCTGTATCTTTGCAGTCCTTTGTGCATGCTTGAGGTAGCTGCCAGGAAGAGAGGGCTTGCCTGAAACACTTGGAATTACCTCTATGCTTACAAAGCTATTGCACATGGAATAAGTTTTCTTTCCCTTGTTAAAAAAGGTTCAAGTCACATTAATCTTACCCTATGTCATTAGTAACAGAAGAGGAAGAATGGCAACAAGTCCTGTGGTGAATCTGTAGAAATTACCTCTGTATGGTATGAATTGACCATCATATTGAGGTAGATGGCTTAATGACAAAAGCAGAGTAGATAGGTGACTGTCTTTTACAAATTTCTTGAATCGCAGAATCACCAAATTATTGAGGCTGAAAAAGACCTCTGAGATCAAGTTCAGCCTATCACTTAACACCACCTCATCGACTAGACACTTAAGTGCCACATCCAGCCTTTCCTTAAGCACCTTCAGGGATGGTGAGTCCACCACTTCCCTGGGCTGTCCATTCTTATGTCTAATCAACCTTTCCATGAGGAAGTGCTTCCTAATATTCGACCTAAACCTCCCCTGGCGCAGTTTCAGGACATGCCCTCTTGTCCTGTCACTAATTGCCTGGGAGAAGAGCCCAACCCCCACCTGACTACAGCCTCCCTTCAGGTAGTTGTAGAGAGTGATAAGGTCCTCCCCTAGTCTCCTCCAGGCTAAACAACCCCAGCTCCCTCAGCCTCTCTTCATAAGACTTTCCCTGTAATCCCTTCACCACCTCGTTGCTCTCCTCTGGACCTGCTTCAGCACCTCAGTGTCCTTGAAGTGCGGGGCCCAGAACTGTACACAGTACTTAAGGTGAGGCCTCACCAGTGCTGAGTACAGGGGGAGAATTACATCCCTACCCCTTCTGGCCACACTATTCCTGATACAAGCCAGGATTCAATTGGCCTTCTGGGCCACCTGGGCACACTGTTGGCTCATATTCAAGCATTGTCAACCTGTACTCCCAGGTCAGTATTAAGAATGCCTGGGTTTTTAGCAGTCAGCATGGGAGTGTCATTTTGTATAACGTAATCTCAGCCTGCTTCTCTACTCGTTCCAGATGTGGAATGTATGAAATGCCAGATTTATCTTGTAACTTACGTTTTGAACTCTCCAAGGGAGCGGGAGAGGGAGAGGCATAGGCACCGTGACAGCAGACGATCACCATCCCCAGACAGATGCTACAAGAAAGATTACAAGAGAGCAGGAAGGTAAGGAAGGTTACGTTTTGTGTCTTGAGTATTTGAGGCTATGTGCAGCCACACATGAGTTTTTGTGTATGTATATATGCATATATACTGTTTGAAAATCAAAAAGAGGGGTGTCTTAAAGTTGTAACTGCTTATACATGTAAATGCCAGTTATCTCAAGACCTTGTAGACTAAGAAGCAGGATCAAACTCTGGACAGAGGGCTTCACTGCTGTGTCCTAAATTATTCCTCTTACATCTGTTCCGGTCTGTAAAGTATGAAGATTCTTTAAAGTAATTCTTTATTTAGATCATCTTTTAGGAAATTATTTTTAATATTCATGCTCCTTCTGAAACCTGGATATTATAAATCAGTGCGATATTACTGGCTTTGTAGTCAGAGGAGATAAGAAAATTTTTCCTACATTTCTGCTTTTGAAAGCATTACTCTTGCAATACATCATGAATATCACAGGTTGTGTTGTTCAAAGGAGTGCCAGACTTAGAGTCAGACAAGCAGTGTGGCTTCTATATAATCCTCTA